TTCTTTCTTTCTTTCTTTCTTTCTTTCTTTCTTTCTTTCTTTCTTTCTTTCTTTCTTTCTTTCTTTCTTTCTTTCTTATGTTGTTAGGACAGTGGGGATCAGACTCATTGCCCAGAGCACCATATCTCCAAGCATACTATTTCATGGTCCTCTGTCCCATGATCTTTTGCCCTCCCTACTCCTTTACCTTTACCCCCAGCATTCAGGTGGGAGGCACTGTCATGTTCTGTGCAGAGGGCTGCCAAGCCATAGTGGACACAGGGACATCCCTCATCACAGGACCACCTGACAAGATCAAGCAGTTGCAGAATGCCATTGGGGCAGTGCTTACAGATGGAGAAGTGAGTGCCCACTTGGGGCAGAGGGAGTGGGTAGAAAGGGGATGGGGATTTTCCTTGCGTGGTATCTTGCGGCCACTGAACAGAAAAAAATGTCAGTATTTCCCCTCATGTCATTTCCCTAGTATGCCATGGAATGTAACAACCTCAACGTGATGCCAGACGTGACCTTCATCATCAATGGAATCCCCTACACCCTCCCTCCCCAAGCCTACACACTGACGGTAGGTGTTTTTTCCCCCTTTCACCAACCATTGGTCCTTCCTCCTGGAGCCCCTGCTCCCCCCTTCTCCAGCAGCTGCCATACTTTCATGTAACCTGGGCTGCACATAAATCCCAGAAGCTCCTCTCCAGCTCTCTGCTCTGACTCGAGAGAATCAGCAAGCGCTGTAACCATCTGTCCACAGTTTCTCTGGCTCTCCGTTTCCTTGTTTGGAAAACAAAGGGGGTAGAATTCAATGATCCCTAAGATTTCTTCCAGCTCTTAACAAACTAAAGCTGACCCATTGTATAACCCACCTCCATGAGCCCTAATGTGTGGGGTGGGAAAGGAAAGAATGAACACCACTAAACTTAAATAAGAGTTGTCAGGCCACTGGTCCCACCATCAACCACAAAGAGCAAACTCTGAGGAAGTGAGACTTCCTTCTTCCTCTTGTTCACTCCTGGCACGGTTCTTTTCAACCGAAGGACTTTGTGGATGGAATGGCGTTCTGTACCAGTGGTTTCCAGGGCCTCGACATCCAGCCCCCCGCTGGGCCGCTCTGGATCCTCGGAGATGTGTTCATTGGCCAATTTTACTCTGTCTTTGACCGTGGCAACAACCTTGTGGGATTGGCCCCAGCTGTCCCCTAAAGCAAGGCCTCTTGTGCCCTGAGACACCTTATATAGATCCCTTGGGCCTGTCACATCCCAGCTCTCTTTTGAATCCCATCTGATCCTCTCCACCTCCTCCAAAGAAAGTTCCGGCTATTTAGTCTGGGACAGAACAAGGCTGAGCGTGGAAAAACTCTAATTATCTCCTAGAATTAAATTGTGCAGTTCTTTTTTTTTCTAAGTAAATAAACTTTCAAAAGATACAGAATCAATGTGTGTTTCTTTGTATATAGAAGTATAGACTTTTCAAATTACAAGAGATTTTATGTTTCCTAGTCCAAGCTCAATTTAAGAATTTACCCTATACCATTCCCAACAAGTCATCCAGCTTCTTTTGTTCAAACACCTCCAGCAAAAGTGGACCCACTATCAATCAATCAAATGAACTGATCTCCCACTTAGGAAATGTATGGCATTGCTCCTGAAGTCAAGTCAATAAACATCTATTAAACATTTTCAATATGCTAAGAGCTGAGCATACAAAGAAAGGCAAAAATATTGTGTTCCTGTCCTCAAGGAGCTTACATTCTAACGGGGGAAACAACACACAAGAAACTATGTACATACTAGATGTGTTCAATATAAATTGGAGATAATTTAAGAGGGAAGGCACTAGCATTGAAGGGGACAAGAAAAGTCCTTTTGCAGAAGGTAGAAAATAGAAGATAAGACTTGATGGAAGCCAGGAGGTGGAGATGAGGAGGGAGAGCATTTCAGGCATGAGACACAGGCCGTGGAACTCTCCCATTCAAGGAACAGCAAGAAAGCCTGTGTCAGATCATCAGGCACAAAAAGTAGGGCCCCTGGTAACACGGTTTCACCTACATTTGTGATTCATGGAGCCAGTTAATGACAAGAAGTGAACAGGAGGCCTGCATCAGACTTTACAAAATCTGGGGAATAATAATGCACCAAAGCTTAAAAAATATTTTTGCAGAGTTCCAGAGGGCACAATCACTGAGCTATGTGCCAGGCATGGGTACTGTTCACTACCTTATAAGACGGCCCGTTCCATTTTTGTACAACTTTGACTGTTAGAAAGTTCTGGAACAGCTAGGGGACACAGTAGATAGAGCACTGGCCCTGAAGTCAGGAGGACCTGAGTTCAAATCCAGACTCAGACAGTGGCCCTAGGCAAGCCACTTAACCAGGATTTCCTCAAAAAAAAAAGTTCTTCCTTCTATCAAATCAAAATCTGACTCCCTGTAACTACAATCCATTGATCTTACATGTGTCTTCTGAAGCTGTTCAGAAGAAATTACAGGCTTCTGTCATAAGACAGCCCTTTGAATATTTGAAAATCACTAGCCTGTCCTCCTCCCCCACCCTCATCACTAAGTCTGTTTTCCTTTTTTGATTGTTAACTAGTAAACTAGTGTAATGCTGAAGATATACTTTACCTGGTTTACCTAGTTTCTAACAAAGCATTTAGTAAAATATCTCTTACTATTCTTGAGGAAGAAATGGAGATACAAGATCTGGAACAGATTATAGGACAATAGATGGATTTAGAGCGGTTTGAATAATTGTACTCAAAGAATAGTCCAATGGTTCAATGATAAATGGCAGGATGTCTCTCTGGGAGTGCCCCAGGGTTTGATGATTAACCCTGTATTGTTTCATATTTTTATCAATGACTTGAATGTGCAGATGGCATGCTCATCAGATTTGCAGATGACATAGATCTGGGATAGATAGCTAAAAAGGTCTTTGGCAGACTAGAACATCTAACTGAATCTAAGCAGATAAAATTCAATAGAGATAAATGTCAAAATTACTCTTGGGCTCAAAAAATCAATCTCACAAGTATAGGATGGGTGGGCCATCATTATACAGTTATTGTTCCAAAAAAAAAATATGAAGGTTTTAGTGCATACTAGCCCAATATGAGTTATCAATGTGATGTAGTAGCTAAAAAAAAAAAAAAAGCTAACACAATACGGGGTGCATTAAAAGGGACACAAGTTCAAGGAATCAGCAGATAGTATTCTCCCCTTTCCCACCCCCTACCCCTGTCCTGGTCAGACTATAACTGGAGTATTGCATTTATTTATGGGTGCCATAGTTTAAAAAGAAGGTTGGTAAGATGGAGAGGGTCAAAAGGAGGATAACTAATATGGCAGAGGGCCTCAAAATTGGCAGCTTGCTAGATGGTGAAGAGCACTGGGCCCAAAGTTAGGAAGACCTGAGTTTAAATCTGGCCTCAGACCTATACTAGCCATGTGACCTTGGGCAAGTCACTCACCTCTGTTTGCCTCGATTTTCTCAACTGTAAAATAGAGATAATAATAGCATCTCAACAACATCCCAAGGTTGTTAAGAGGATCAAATGAGATAATATGGGTAAAGCACTTAGCCCAGTGCCTGGTACATAGTACATACTGCATAAATGCTTGTTTCCTTCCTTTCTTCCTTCCTTCCTTCCTTCCTTCCTTCCTTCCTTCCTTCCTTCCTTTCTTCCCTCCTCCCTTCCTCTCTTCCTCCCTCTCTCCCTCCCTCCCTCCCTCTCTCCATCAAAATTGTGCCATATGGAGATTATTTGAAAGAAGTGAGGATGTTTAGTCTGGAAAAGAGAAGAATTGGGGAACCAGGTAGTCATGTGTGTGTATTTAAATGGCTGTCATGCAGAAGACGATTTTTTAGATTTATTCTGCTTGGCCCCAGAAGGCAGAACCAGGAGCCATGGTTAGGAGCTATTGAGAAGATTAAACTTGAATTAAGGAAAACCTTCTTGACATTAGCACTGTCCCAAAGTGTCTACTTCAGAAGGTAATGAGTTGTCCTTATCTGGAGGTCTTCAAGCACGGACTAGAAGACCACTTGCCAAGCATGCTTTAAAAAGGATTCTTCTTCAGCAATGAGTAGAGTGTAATGGCCCCTGGGGCCCTTTTTGACTCTGCAATTAGCCAGCCCATGGAATCTCACCTCAATATTTCCTTGTCATGGATATATTAAGTTCAGGAAACATACATACATTGTGCACCAGTCTGCCTCCACTCCCTCTTTTCAAAAGAAGAAAAAGTGCTCTGGAGGGAAATAATGGAAACAAATCACTAGGTGGGTCTCATACAGCTTCCTCTGACCAGCTGTTATATCTAAATATTTATCTGCTAATGGCATCTTTATCTGAAAATGCTGCTAGAATGAGGCACCATGGGAAGCCACGCAAAGGTTTGTCCTGCCACGGGGCTCTAAGGCTCCAGATTAATGAATCCTTAATGCTTCCATATGTAAATAGGTGTGACTGACTGAGACCATGGGAATTTTACTGGTTCATGGTACAGAGGTATCATGGTAAAAATGGAAAGAGCACTAGATTTTGTATTAGGACACCTGGGTTCAAATTCTGCTCAGATACTCACAAGCCATGTAAACTGAGGTAAGTGACTTAACCTCTAAACTCGATTCATCATCTGTAAAACTGGGACCGTAATAATTGGACTACCTACCTCACAGGGGTGAGGGATGTGGAAAATATTTTGCAACTTTAAAGGGCTATGTAAATGTATTGTTATCCTATTTACATTACATTTTGTCAATTTCCCTTTCAAGCTATTGGAGTCCAGAACCAAATGCTAAACTGCTCAGTGCCTGGCACATAGTAAGTGTTTAATAAACCCTACTTGACAGACTGATTAGATGATAAGCTCTCACATGAACATCTATCCCATTCTGTACTTGTTGAATTGATTCTTTGAACCCAAGACAAGGACTTTATATTTGTTTCCATTGAGCTTTATCCTGTTAGATTCGAGTCATCTTTCTAGTCTGTTGAGATAATGGAATTTAAAAGTTAAGAGAGACTACTAAGGTTATCTAATCCAGTCTGGACCTAAACAGGAAAGGCCTCCATGACATTCCAACAAATTGTTATTTAGCCTTCTCTAAAAGGCTTCCAGTGAATGAGAACCCACTTCTTCCCAGGTGACTCATTCCAACTTTGGATGTTTTTAATTATCAGAAAAGTTTCTCCTTGAAACCTAAATCTGCCTCCCCTCCACCTTTTGCTCCTAATTCTGTCCTCTGGGCCCCCCAAAAATGAGTCTAATGCCTCCTTTACAGGATGGTAAAAGCTCTTAAAGTAATGTTAGCTGATATTAGCTTGCAGGATCTAGAAGCATTTAGCTTGGGAAACAGGCTGGGCAGGGGGTGATAGCTATCTTCAAACGTTCAAAAGAATGTCTTGGGGAAGAAGAACTAGGCTGATTTTGGAAGATTCTGAGGGCAGAATTGGGACCTGGGAGTAGTAGTTATGATAAGGCAGATTTTGGATCACTGTTTCCTGCATTACCAGCTGGCATCTTTCACCGGATGACCCATAAGTATCTCACTCAACATGTCCAAAATGGTTGTTTTCCTCCCTCTGTCTGGCTCCCTGGCTAACTTTCTTGTTTCTGTTCAGTCAGTCAACAAGCAAATATTAAGCGCTTTTCATGTTCCAGGCAGCTAGGGCAGCTAGGTGGCTCAGCAGATAGCACGCTGGGCCTGGAGTCAGGAAGACCTGAATTCAAATCAGCCTTATACACTTACTAGCTACGTGATCCTGGGCAAGTCACTTCACCCTGTTTGCCTCAGTTTCCTTATCTGTAAAATGAGCTGGAGAATGAAATGGCAAACCGCTCTGGTATCTTTGCCAAGAAAACCCCAAATGGGGTCATGAAGAGTTGGACGTGACTAAGAATGACTGAATAACACCCAAGAAACATCTTGAGCTCAACATGTCTTAAATTGAACTCGTTATCTTTCTTCCTAAAACCACGCCTCCCCATTTCCACTGAACATCCCATTATCCTTCCACTGTCTCAGATTTGTAACCTCAGAATTATACAGGAGTCCTCACTTTCCCTCACTCTACATACACATACAGTTGCCAAATCCTTCCATTTCTACCTTCCCAACACCTTTCACATTTGATCCTTTCTCTTCACTCACACAGCTGCCATATCAGTTCATTACTTCTCACCTAGATTATTGCAACAGTCTCCTCATTGGTCCCTCTGACTCATTTCTTCCCCTTCCAGCCCATCCTACATACTGCTGCCAAAGGACATTTCCTTAAAGGCCAATCTGACCATGTGACTCTGCTACCCCCATGGCTTTCTATCACCTTTAAGACGAAACATATTATGACGACACCAC